CAATTTGTGACAGCAAGAAGCCATGCAGATGCTTTAACAGGACATCAAGTTTCAACGGGCCTTATTAGTCCAATCTAGGAGTTGTGCCAACTGTAATGTCATGTAACATCAAGGATTTAGAGCTGCTTCAGGATTTTACAGAAAGGGGAGAGCTCTTTTAATAGACAAACTCAGTTACTCACTGTGGAAGGGTAAGCTCTAAAGGCTGCCTTACATTGTGCATCATTCTGTGAGAGTGGGTGCCTAATTCACCACTGGCACAAGTGATCTCCCAACTTCTTGTGCTCACAGTCCAGAAGGTGGGTACCAACAGCCTTGCTGTTGGAAATGGAGCAGCGATTTTTACAATGCTGCTGAAGAGCCTTCCAACTCTCAGTTAACTGTACCCGTGGCTAGAGTCCCCACTGAAGCTTTGGAATACCTGGATTAGCTGTGTCCCTGTCCAAGTGCATTCAAACCCACATACGACGTCTTTCAGGACAGCTCCTTAATCTTGATGCTATTTGGAGTTCTCTTCCCTTCCCCACCTGAGCTTTAATCTTCCTCTTTGGTTAAAGCAGTTTTATTCTGCCTGGAGTAAAGCTCGACTGAGGCAGAAAATGGAAGCAAGGATGGTTCCAGCCTAACCCAGTTAACCCGGAGAGAAGAGCTTTGCTGTTCAGAAGGCTGTTTCTGAATTTTATGCAATAACTTTCACTCAAGGCATCTAAATGCCTTCTTGAACTGGTCTACAGTGTATAATACCTCTCTGTAGTTCCCTAGTTTAAGGACAAAGGAAGTCAGCACTTGCACATTGGAATTGAACGGATCAAAGTAAAGCAGAACTGTATTTCCAGATTGAAACAATTTGTATCATGACACTAACATGATTCAAAATTTATGTTTCTGTTAGAAGATCCAAAGATAGAGGGGGATTTGAAAGTCTGCAAAGTCTCATACCTCCTATTGTACCACTTTTGTATTTATAGTTTGAAAATCAATGGAGCTTTAATGTAAGTATCATCTTTTAGGAAGGTAGAAAGTACAGCCGTTGCTGTACTTTATTTATGGTGGGTGATAACATTAATCTAAAGATACCAGCTGGAACCCTTGTCAGTAGAAGTATACTTAGGCAAAATGGCATCATTTTGGTGCTTTGAAGTATGCTTTTTTATCTCCATATCCTTTTTCTTCCTTTTTCTCTCATCACAATGTCTGTGTAGATCTTTCAGTTCTGCTTGGCATGTATTTTCAGTGTGAAAGTAGCCCATATTTCTCTCTCCTAATATAGCAGGACCCATAAGGTAACTGTACCACAAAAGACAATTTCATCCCAAGTGTGAAGTCTTTCGAAATAATCCTCAGATAGCTTTCCAGGCTCCTCTGTTTGTGGCTGCTATTACGAATGACAGCAGCAGTAAATCTACTGTGATATTGAGAACCCAGGATTCATGGTTGTCTTTAATACGTAAGCAAAATTGTTAAGGAGCATTGATGCCAGAAGTCTGATTCTGTGTCCCTTACTGCAGGTGTAAATGACCAATAACTCCAGCAAAAGCAGCAGAACATAGCTGTTCAACAAGACTGAGAGAAGAGAAAAAGTTAAATGATTAGTACTTTAAAAGCAGAAGAAATAAATTGAAAATAGGTTTTCTTTCAGAAAAAATATCTTGTGCATATGTGCTTTAAGTAGTCCAAAGTAAGCTGCATTTAAAGTAGTACTTCTTAATGGGTGATGTCTTATTACCAAGCTAAAGAAAGTTAAAGCTGTTTGGCAAAATGCTTTTTGCTTTATCTGAGCAATGTAATTCTTCTTTGTGAGCTAACTACACAGGCTGATCTCATTTAAATACACAGGTTGAGGGGGAAAGCCAGTTTGAGGTGGGCTACATTTCAGAAAAGGCTGGCTTACACTGGTTGAGTGTCATTCATCCAGACGAGATCATGGAGCTTTAAGGGGAAAAAGAGACAGAAGAAGTCACTTGATGCATGTAGAAAACTATATACTATACACTATATTGCTTAGTTATCTACAGCAAAGCTTTGATTGCTCTAGCTTTGCATACTCTGTATACCCTTGTATGCTACTCTGACTAACCTATCCTAGCCTTATGTTTTAACTAGCCTTCCTCCCTCCTGTCCCAGCATGTTCACATTTCTTGCTGTTTTCCTCTCTAGCTCCATGTAAGGTGAATGAAGAAGACCTCTCATGGGGCCTTCCTCCTTTGCAATGACCAAGGTCAAGGATGGTGAAGGGCAAGGGGTGGAGTCAGCACAGGTTACACAAGGGAATGGTCTCCTCTGGGCATACTAAGATGCCTAAGTGGGGCAGCAGCCTGGAGAATGGATGCTTTATGCCCCAAAGGGTGCGGAAATTGCTGAAAGAGAGGATAAGTACAAGAGGAGTACACAGGGGTGCATTCTTTAAAGCCTGTCACGGTCCCTCACCCCTACTTCAAACGATGCTGGCAGTTGGCAGAGAAGACTTTTTAAATGTTGAAGAGTAACCATTTCATTTAACCTAAATAAATACAAATATTACTGCCTCATCTGTCTCATGTGAATAGCACTATGCTTACACATGGTGATGATGTTCACCATGGGAACAGATCACAAATGAGCAGGTTGCCTGGTTTTGTGGCTTTTTTAAGTGTTCACCCCAAGGGCTGCACAGCTAGGGGTGAGCCCACTCTTAGGGCGTAAGACCTCCACCTTCCAAAGAGAAGATCTGCTTGTCCCAGGAGTGGGGTGGTGGTGGTGGTGGTGATGGGGAGATGATACATCATGTCTCAGTCCTTTCATAGCTATTTAAACTGCAGCATCCAGCCTGGGGCCTCTCCTCTGTCACTCCCAGAGCACCTCTGCAAAATGCTAAAAGCAGAAACCTGGGCATGAGATGTCCCTGCAGGGCTGAGTAATAACCCATGGGAGAGGTCTTCCTAGGCCTGCCCTAAGCATGGTTCAGGGTGGTACTTGAGCGTCCAGTGGCTGGAGAAGGACATGTTGTTATCCGGAGAGCCAGGGCTCCCTGTGCTGGGTCTGCAAAGGGCTGTAAAGCACACTCCCACAATAAGCTCTGCCTGTGCTGTTTCAGGTCTCACAGGTGGCTCATGAGTCCAATCTGGCTCTACCAAGAGACGTCAATTTATACACAGGACCATTGCGACTGGTGCTGTACAAACATGCAGAGATGGGACCCTGGCAGTGGACTATGGCACTAGAAAGCCATAGGCCCTGCCCTACCAGTACCTGTAACCAGTGCCTCAGAGACACATCTCAGACTCTTGTGCTTTTTCCTACTTGTCCACATGTGGCTGGAGCAAAGACCTAGTGCCATTTAGCATCTGTGGCATTCCTATGCCCTGGATGCAGGCGTTCATGCACTCACCCTCCATGCGCCAGGCCCAGGATGGATTCAAACACTCATACTCGGCTCACCTTGTTCTTCTACTCCCTTCTCACTGCTGGGGGAAGATGGGAGTGGGAAGAGCCATTTTTCCCCCCAAAGCCCATCCCTCCCTGCCTGCCTCCTTTCCCTCCGCCCCC